TAAGGCGTCACAAAGAGTTTCTTTTCATATGAACAGTAATTCACCCATACATTAAAAGCCCCCTAACAAAACTTGCGAACCCCTCAACACATAAACAAGTTAAACAGTTACAAAGAGCTTTGGAAATACTGTTATAGAAAAGACGGAGTTACAATATGTATTAATAATCCGATTTGGAAAGGAATCATCTTCGTGTACAATCTTAATTCATTGTCATTAGCGTTTGAAATATTGACTCTGCGGATCTCGCACGTACGGATACGAATTTTCAAAAGATTGTAAAATTATAAAACTACGATACTCGTATTTAGTTCGTCATTTGGACAACGCTTCAGGTAGTAGAAGTTACTAATACCAAGTAGGTCTTAACCTACTTTACAAAATATTAACTGAAATGGATTTGCGTGTCTGTACATGAATGCACAAATTGCACAACGCAGTTTCAATTAGGTTAAGTAAGTAAAACGAATCTTTTTGGTCATTTCACATACATAATATGTTGTATACTGAAGCCTATGCCCCATGGAGGTAGGCAGCAGATATGGAGAGCCACCTAGTGCAATACTTTATCTTACATCACATTGCATCTGGCCATACAAGCACGCCGCCCCGGTATGTCCTTTACCTAGCTTTTTTCGAAAATGTAGTGTGTTCTCTAAGGTAGAAACAAATTACGAAATTCGTCTAGTTTTTTAAAATTAGTATAGCAAACCTGCATAAAATACAGTTCCTAGGAATGAATTTTGCCCTGTGGTTCACCTAGAGGTTAAGCAAATTTTTTGTACTCTAATCGACCTCGTCAGGGGACACCCTGACGAGGTCGATTAGAGTGACAACTGATCATCATTATCATTCGGAATAGGTCAACTATTGAAATATAGCCTCCCTTCTGTGAAGAGGTGGCCAATCATCTTCTTGACAGCGCGTAACACAACGCAAGTGTTCACGCGACACACGTTCACACGTGAACGGGTTTCACACAGACTGAGAACTCCAGTTATAGCTTGAAACTAATCGTGAATAAGCCGTAGAGTATTATTAAATAGAATGTCTCACGAGATTGTAATACAAAAATAGATTAAATAATATAAAAGCATTGTGAGTTTTTGTGACAGAATAGTTGTCATGACACGGAAAATAACACTTCTCACTATTCACATAAAAACTATCATAGTATAGTCTAAAAATAGTCTTCGTAATGTTTTTTAATACCACATTAGTTCACTGCGGAGTAGTGGAGACGGATATGTTCATTTTTGTTATAGAATGCACCAATGCGTCTGATTTTCCATTAATTACTCGATCCGAATGGTGCCGTGAGGTGGTTCTGTAAGAGACGACTAAGGGACTGCACATTAAACGGATATAGAGAGCGAGCGCTCTAGACAAGCACACCAAAGCTCTGTAACCTGACGCCCTAAGCACTTTCCAGTTTGCCTTGGATAACACGGTTCTGGAACAGGCTGCAGCACCCTGACAAACCAGATCCTTTTAAACTGCGGTCTCCAACCGGATTAAGAAGAAAATCATAACACATGTCGCATAGACACCACAAAAACTACCAGAGTATTTAGTACATGATTTACTGACACTGAAATATTAGAGGAACATTAATAATAATAATGTTACAATAAATCATGAATACTGAGTTTCAACTTTTCTCAGGTCCTATCAGAATAACTTTGTATCTTCAATTCAAATTAATTTATTTGTATCATAGGTACATCGGGGCCAGCCTACACTTGAATGTAACTAATGTGAAGCCTGCTATACATATGCTATAAATATTGGCTAAAAGACATCACAAACACAACCTAACATTTAAGTGTAGGAGAGCCATGCTTCGGCTAGACCTGAGTAATACCACGGCCTCACAGAAAACCGACGTGAAGCAACAAGCTTGCGTTGTGTTTCGTCGTGTGAGTGAGGTTACCGGAGGCCCAATTAAACTATAAAAGGTAATTTGTGAACAGTGATGTTCAGTTGGTTTAAATACAATATTATGACAATCCTTAAGAAACAAAATAACCTCAGCTTATTAATAAAAAGTAAGTATTGAGCTACATTCTGTCTAGAATGGAAGCACTTGAAGCTTGGGACGATTTACCTAACATTCTGTCTGAGTGAAATAAGTTTAATAACCTGGAACCGAAAATAGAGGTATAATTTTGCCATAAACTCCATAATTTTATGTAAAAATCTATTTAGATTTAGCAATGTCTCTCAGTAGATAATATACCCTGTGAATACAACATACAACCTATCATATTATGATGTATTCCAATAGGCAATCATAAATTGTCACCAATAGCAGCCATTCCCTTCAACTTTTGTCTTAGAACCAACAAGATTTTCCTACAGGACACACTTCACTTGAAACCAAAATACTAGTTAGGTAGTGACAAAATAATAATCACTACTATTGCAACATGGAAAACTACATTCTATAATTATTTGCAATGAAATATGTAACCACAATTTGTTTATATACAAATCAAATCTATCTAGGTTTAGTTTAGACAAATAAAATTCTTGCAGGTGCAAGAACTAGATTGATTTAGGTATTTCTTTTGTAATATGAATGAAAAGCTTATGCTAAACTTACCTTAGTTCTTGGTCGCCCCCTTCCCCTCTTCATATCATGTGTGGATTCATCACTTTTAGTTTTTCTTACATTACTTATGCTCTTGGATGCACATTGTTTATCTTTGTTTACCTTTGCCCCACTGTCCTTGATGTCACACAGTTTTCTCCCATCTTCAATATCATTCTTATTAGTACTTTTCAGCTTTGTAGGTGTTTTAGCTGTACATTTTGATGGTAATGATTTAGAAACTGCTTTAAGTGGTAAATCATCATCACTTGATGAATCTGATGAGCATTTACTACATGATTCAGAGCTCGAAGTAGTATCAGAAAGTTGAGATTTCTTTTTCACTGGTGTTCTATCCTTGCTTTGACTTTTATTATTAGTTAATTTCTTTTTCACTGATGGTTTACTGGTCCTTTTTGGTGATACTTTTCTGGGTGGTATAGCAGCAATCTTTAATTTCAAACCAGTGTCACAGGAAGTTACTGAGAAGTGTGCCTTACGTGAAGCACTTTGTTTAGCATCGGAACATTCCCATTCACTTCTTGATGACTCACTGGAGCTGCTATTCTGTAATAAAAGAAACAAAATTGTTGTATAAAAAGGAACAGTTAAGAATAATAAAACTGTAAATATGGTTTTGAAATGACATTAGCAAGCTCAGAAAATGAAAAGTGGAACATCAATAGCTCTTTCCAATTAAAATCTCTTTTAAGTGTGACCAATGAAAACATTCATACGAGAATGACATAATATTGCTAAAGTTGTATTTAAGCATGGAATATAGAAACATTTGCAAGAAGTATAATAAAATAACAAACCTCAGAATCACTATTTGAGTCTGAATCACCACTTGAATCATGAGTTTTTGGCAACTCAGTGCCCATTTCTGAAAAATATAAAATCAATGCAATTTACACAATTTTAATACTACAGGGACAAATAAAATATTATCTCGATGTAACCATGAACTTGTTAAATAACAAAAACATTGCAAAACACAAATGTTCAGACTTTAGGTGGATGACATTACAACACAACATAGTGATAATCTTATCAGCATAATAACTACAAAGATGAAACTATTGGAAATCATGCAAGACAACATTCAAATAAACTATAATTGAAATGGATATTAGCTGGAATAGCTGGTAATGACGCTATAATACTGGCTACAAATGGTTAGGGTACTCACTTCAAGGTTGGTCAAGATGTTTCCAAATACAACAGTGTGATTGTCTTCATTTCAGTCGCAAATTATCCATAATATTATAATTTTCTGAAATAAGATACCAAAATCAATCACAGCAGCAATCTCAAAGCGTTATTTTGAGAAATATTTCCACTCGACATAATTTGTTGAAATGACAGATCTGACGACACTCGTAAGACCAGTTTATTCACGATGAAACTTGGTTGTGTTGTACAACGCGGACTAGAAGTATCACTAAAAAACTACGATGTTACATAAAAACCAATTTATTTTCGTTAGATAAATCATAATAAGTGAGTATAACGGTCTTTTAGTCCATTGGCGCCAAATAAGTGCATACGTTTACATTCATATGTGGAAATATAATGCCGATTGTTAGTGTATTGCACTATATTATTATGACATAAAAGCCAAAATAAACTTCTTGTCATACTAACCACATCCGAAAACTTCGTAATAGAAATAATACACGGCAAAACGACGAAATTACTTCACACTAGCATAACACTTGGCCTCCATGTTTACAAATCATTCATATAAAAATGTACACCTATGTAACTCAAGAGAAAGTCAGTGAATTTTGCATCTTATTCTTTTACTCATATGAAAGTTACGTATGAAAGAATGAGACTTATTACCATTATATCTATATGAAATGCGGCGCAAAATGGCGTCCTAAGACCAAGAAACGCTTACAAATTAATTTCTTTTTGAATAAATTTAGTAACAACACACTATTTTGAGATAAACAGGCGTGTAACTTTTTACCGCTATCATGTTTTTTTTAATTACGGAAGCTATAAATAAATAAAAGCAAATTTGAGCCAAATTATAGCTAATATAACGGTGTTAGTAACTCCATCTTTTGAGGCAAAATTAAAACTTTAAAACATAGTTTAACAAAAAACAAAACTTACTAAATACGGAGTAAAATCACAAATATTACAATACTGAAAAGAAACAATGAAAATTATCATTCTGTAAATAAAATTTATATTAATATAGGTATAAATTAATAAAATCAAAAATATTTATCACGGAAGAATAGTGTTATAGGCGATTTATGATTTCTACTTACTTGGCACAATGGGTAGTTGAGATAGAGTATACCTTTTATTCAGATTAATACTGACTGAATACTGTACTGGGTATTTAACAACTATTTTTATCCGTAAAATCACCCATTTATACTCAGTCAACAAAAGTATATTCAAAAGTTTCAAAACTGCTGGCTACCAGTGCCAGTTTCAGTTTTTTCCTGTTGAATGGCTACCTTTACATTTCATATTTTTCATGTCAAATTGTCAGTTGTCAAGTAGTTAACATTTAACTTGTCATTTCGAATCGAAATACAAGAATACAAGATACTACAAGGAATACGAGGATGAAAAAAATAAATTTATTTACATTATACGTTTTCTTTAATAAACTCTCTTGATAATGATAGAAGAGACAGAAATTTCGAAATAACAGAAATCTGTTTCTTAATAAACATCCAGAGGTTAGGCTGTTTTCATTCTTGCAAGTGATTTGAATAATTGTGTGATCTGAGAATAGAGAGGCAGAATTATTGCATATCCTGAGAAGAATAAAAATAATAAAATTAATTTAACTATAAAAGGTAATTGGTGAACAGTGATATAGAGTTGGTTCATTTAATAAAATATGATGACAATCCTTAAGAAATAAAATAACCTCAGCTCTGTATTTTTGCCTAACTTAATATTCATAAAAAGTAAGTATTGAGCTACATTACTAAGATACTAATTTATTATTTCATTGCCACATTTTTTCTAGAATGGAAGAACTTGAAGCATGGGACGATTTATCTAACATTCCGGCTGACCCTCCAGTCATGCGCAAACTATGTGCGGACTGCAGGTAACATAACTTTTTGGTGTTGAATAGTATAGACTCTATAGACTACAAAGTTCCTCTGTATTATTGTGTTTCACCATTTAGGCAAATACAATGTAAAAAAGTATATTTTGAGCTACAAACTTATATTTAAGTTCTTTTTCCAGGAGACCAGCAGTAGTTTGTTGGTGTTCAGCATTACCACCAGAAAAGTTGAATCCTCGCAGCACTGTCATATTGTTACAGCATCCTGCTGAAGAAAAAAGATGTTTAAGAACAGCTCCCATGTTGCAACTAGGTTTAGCATCTAATAAGTGCCTTATATTCAAAGGAAAAAAATTCCCTCAACCCAGGCATAAAGACTTGGAGATTTTGCTCACACAGCCAAATACACTTTTGTTGTATCCTAGCAAAACTGCCATAGACATAAGAGCCATGGAGAATGATACTGATAGTTACAATTTAGTACTAATAGATGGCACTTGGCCTCAAGCTAAGGCCATATATGCATCCAGCCCCATACTGCACAACATTAAACAAGTTAAATTATTGACTAGCAATACTAGCAGTTATATTATAAGGACACAACCAACGGAAGGATGTCTGAGTACACTGGAGACTGCTGCAGAAGCCTTATCACAATTGGAACGGGACCCAAAATATACTGAACTCTTACTACAACCCTTACACACTTTGTGTAAATATCAATTAGAAAATGGAGCAGTAACACACCAATCTAAAGAGTTTCTTATTAAAACCAGGACATATCCCAAATTGATTGGCAAAAGGTTATCTAAGTTACTTAGATCTACACAAGAAGAATTGCCTGATCAAACATAATTTGTTTATTTAAAAATATATAATATATGTTATAAAAATAGTAATGTTGTTTTTGTTACTAGATAGTATTATTCAGGCACTAGTTACTCCTTGATAAATAAATGGACATAAAAATAATTATTTACTTCGAACCAGTAGTTCTGGAGATCGTATAATTATAGTAACAAGGTAGTAAGTAACTTGGATTTTAATTACTGACTGAAAATTGTTAAGGGCAAATCCGGAAAAAAATGTCGGTCATCGGTGGAAGCTATCGTGAAAATTTAGACTAGATTTTTAATGAGCTTAGTGCACATTAGTGGATTGAGGATAATGAGATCCTGTCTTTGATCTTGATTCTCTTTTTTGAGCAGTTATATTTTGGTTAGTAAGTTTTCTTTAATTGGAGTATATTTTAAATGGCCTACCGCGGAACACAAAGCCCCGCTGTACGGCATACAAAGGGTCTGGTTCTGGTCGGGCGGTGCAGTGAGCTGCCTTTGCTCGCCGTCCGCAGACCCTTACTTACGGTGGCAGGCAAAGACTGTTGTGGTTGGAACCGCAGGGGCATAAAGTTCGCGCTCCGAATCCTCCTTTGCTATCGTGACTCCTTCACAAAAGGAGAAAATCCCTGTATTATAATTCCTGTAAAATGTACCTGTGGAGTATCAATAGTGGAGCTAAACTAATTTTTTCCCTTTTTTTCAACGTCTTTGCTTTCGTCAAGGTATAAAAGCCAAGGTGCCAAACAATAGACAATATTAAGGTGTTGCTAACTTTTGATATTTGGATAAAATAATTTAAGTTAAGTATTTAACACTGGCAACACAATTATTCCGCTGTCATTTTGACGCGATTTCATTTTTCCTTCCTTTTCTGTCGGTTCTGTCAAACAAATCGGAAACATGGCTGAGGTTTGTAAATTATTTTAGCATTATTATCCACATTTATTTTATGAATCATGGAAGAAAACTAAATTATTGTGATAGTGCTATCTATTAGTGTTATTGAAGAATAGTGTCCAAGTGCTATTTTCTTGAAGTGAGTTACAATGTTTACGTTTTACAGGTCGATGAAACTCTTAAGAAGAAACGTACCTTCAGGAAGTTTACCTTCCGAGGTGTTGATCTCGACCAGCTTCTGGATATGCCCAAGTAAGTTTGCACCTACTTTTATTGGTTATAAATTTATCATCAAAACATGGTAAATTTATAGGTTTGACACCTTAGCGGGTGATCTGTCAGACAATAAACTTCCGAATCTTGATTACAATGACTATGTTTTCCGTTACGTATCATTAGGCCCAACAACTATATTTGGTGTCATGGTATTTTAGTTGTAAGTATGTATTTGGTCTGGTGTTAACGATTGCTAACATAACCTCAAAATGTAACTTCCAGTGAGCAACTCATGGAGCTCATGCACGCCCGCGCTCGCAGGCGATTTGCCCGTGGTCTGAAACGCAAGCCAATGGCCCTGGTGAAGAAACTGCGTCGCGCTAAGAAGGAGGCCCCGCCAAATGAGAAACCTGAAATTGTGAAGACACATTTGAGGAACATGATCATTGTCCCCGAGATGGTAGGATCCATTGTCGGTATCTACAACGGCAAGACTTTTAACCAGGTAAGTTTGTTAATTCATGTAACATTGTTACTGCAACTTTCAATAATTGTTATTTTTCGTGTTGTTAACCAAAACATAGAAATCTAATATTTGGGAACTGTAAACTAAACAAATCTGATCTATATAATAGTTAGTATACCAAAATAAACAAAACAAAACAGTAAATTTCTATGAAAGCAACAACTATAGCAAAACAACAACTTGTATTCATGTTTCAGTACTTTAGTTTGTGAATAAAGTATTAAATTTATATAAAAAAATTAATGTCTAAACTGCCTTAGTGAGTTCATTGTTCTGTTTTCACTTTTGCGCAGTAAATATTATAATTACACCATGTTAAACAATGTGAATTTAGGCAGTGCCATATTAACCATGTAGCGAGTTACATATACCGAATGAAATGCATGAATGAAACTTATCAGGACACCCCAATTAACAAGTTTCATGTCTCTACTGCCCTATAAAACTAACTAGCAAAAGTGAAAAAAAAGTGATACATATTCATGTGCCTGTTTATAAATTTTCAATGTTTTGTTTCCAGGTTGAAATCAAACCTGAGATGATTGGCCACTACCTCGGCGAGTTCTCAGTCACATACAAGCCTGTAAAGCACGGTAGGCCCGGTATTGGTGCCACCCACAGCTCCAGGTTCATCCCACTCAAGTAGTGTGCTGACCATCACCTAGGCTTAAGTCTAAAACTAAAATGTACACAGGAGTACAATAAATGTATCTTGTGTGGCAATTACTGTTTTTTATTACATTCACTGATGAACATAAGATGACATAATTATGACTAACAACCAGTGCTAATAACTCTCAATTCCAAATTATTTATTTTTAATTTCAGTTTGTAGATTTGGTTTTTATTCTTAGTAAATTGTAGATGGGTTACCTAACTGTGCTGTTAGTCATACATTATTTGTTATTATTTTTATAGTCTCCTTGTAGCGAATATCAACTTTTTGTTACCAATGTTGTTTAGTAGAGAAATTCAGTTGTTATTGATTCATAGTGACTGATATTGTTAGTGTTGTTGGTATGTGCAGTAGCAAAAGGATCCATCGACTGCACCCTATCAATCTAGTCTGTCAACCCATATAGCAAGCATATAAATAGCTAGGATGCCTGAAGCTTTCAGAGGTTATTTATTAGGCAACCTCACGGTAAAACAATGCAGACATTGGTTTCTTAGAGGCCATGATCCATTGATAAATCAGTGACAATATTATTGATGTGGTGACCTGGAGGTTGAAGACGGCTGCTTCTCATGCATGAGGGTGCGGGTTCGAAACCTACCAACGGCAAGTACCAATGGGACCTTCAGAGGTATATGTACTTTCTAAGATTATTTAGACACACTAATTGTGAACGAAAATATCGTGAGGAAACCTGGGCTTATAATTTCTATTTATAAGTTTGAAATCGCCAATCCGCATTGAGCAAGCATGGTGATTATTGCTCAAACCTTCTCCGTGTGAGAAAAGGCCTTTGCTCAGTCGTGGACATTTATAGGATGATCATATTATTCAGATCATGCCGGCCAGCCCATTTGTGTTAAAGCATAGCTCTCCCTCGTGAATACCATAGAATTTAACTAAATACTGGTTTCACAGCTAATATAGCCAATCTAGGTAATGTATAATTATCCACATCTGGCAGATGGTCAAACGTGAGCTCGCTGCCATTGCAGTGGTAAGTCCCCTCTTTGAGGAGTGGCTTGAGAGACGCTACGGCGTCCTCACCTACCGCCTGACGCAGGTCCTCACCGGACATGGAAGTTTCGGGAGGTACCTGTGTCTGATGGGGCGGGAGGAAATGCCCGGGTGTCATCACTGCGAGGACCGCCCTGAGGACACGGTGGAACACACTGTAGCGGAATGCCCTGCGTGGGCTGAGCACCGCCGTGCCCTCAGGGAAGTGATCGGCGATGGCGACCTCTCGCGTCCGGGCCTAGTGCAGGCCATGATGCGGAGCGAGGGGGACTGGGATGCCGTCTCCTCCTTTTGCGAAGCAGTCATGCTAGCTAAGGAGGAGGCGGGACGCGTGAGGCAGCGAAGCGCTGCCTCCTCGCAACCCAGCCATTGCGAAGGACACACCGGGCGTCGGGGATCGCGGGACGATCTCCGGCCACCGTAAGCGCGGGCCTGCCGACGGCGAGCATGGGTGGCTCCCCGTCCGACCAGAAACAGACCCGAGCGTACGGCGCGTCGCGTTCCGCGCGCGCCACAAAGAGCCATCAGACCACCACAGATGGGGCCCAATACGGCCGATGCCGATTCGGAGTCGCGGAGAACCTAACGGGTAACCGGGGCTCCGACTCGACGTGCAGGAGAAGGAACGGAGTGGTTTTTAGTCAGTAAGAGTCTGACACTCCCTCCCGCCTCACCCAGGCGGGAGCACTCATTCGATGATTTTCCCCCCTTAACAAAAAAAAAGATGGTCAAACGTCCACTGCTGAACGCCTCCTTTAGTCCTCCACGCCGAACGACAACTCGCCAATGATTCACATCCAATGACTCCTCGCGACTGATGATATGCATAATTTGATCGACCCGTCTAGCGGGAGGCTTACCCACACCCTCTGCGGTCTCTGTAGTCGCTAGTCCAAGTACCTACTTGATCTGTCGGCTGTCAGTAGATGTGCGCCACGAAGCAAATACGAAGTATTTGTATTGTATTTGCTTCATACTGGCTCTGCCTAAGCCGAACTTGTTTTAGCAGAAACGCTTTTAAAAGTTTTCTAGTCATTTAAGAATTTTTAATTCCCTATACTTTCGTCATAAAGTGGAGATAACAAAAAGGTTGGGGGTGCAAGTGTGGCCAGATTAATAAACCGCTTGTGGCGGTGTTTCGTTGTCCCTATAAATTAAATGGATATAGTAGTGTCTAGCTTTTGTTCGATATATAATTTCATTCGTCGAAAAGTCGTAATTTATCTCAGAAGAAAATATAAAAATGGCATTTACTTTCCGCTACTAGGTGATAGATGGCGTTAGGCGGCTTTCGACTAACTTCTAAATCTAAACGAGTCCTAATTCCTACATCAACTTTCAGAAACCCAGGTTTCCTGCATTTGGTGTTTTACCCATTTTATTTACCATTGTCTTCTAAAATATGTAGGTACCTAATTAAGTAAAACTGCTCTAGGATTTGAGTCACATTTAGTAGGTGAAAATACGTGTTCATTTTAATGTAGGTGACTAAGAGTATAAAAAGATGAGTAAAAGTTTAAAAAGGAAATAATAATTGTAATTCGTAAAATAACACGTTAGAAAAGGCAATAATAGTGGTTGACGTATATATGACGTCACATAGGAGGTGATCGTAAAGTCCAAAGAATACAACTACGTACCTAGTAGGTGCTTTGTAAAGTCCGTGACGTGTGAACCACCTCTCTGCCTGGATGCTCCACAAAATTATTTATTGCTTTTATTATTTTAGATATCATGTGTTTGTTACTCCCAAGTTAATAAAATAAACAATCGCGGCCATCCTGCGTTAGGATTTGCATGTTGTATTTGTATTGCTAGGATAACTGCAGTTTTGTCACATGATAGGTTGACTATTCTAAAATCTAGACCGGGTAGGTCTGTCATCACGTGAGAGTATAAAAATATCGATCCATCAATACATCCATCCACCCTTCCTCATACAAGAATTATAAATGAAGTAGTAGTAGGCTCAAACTAAGCAACAAGATATGTTAAGTTCCTAAAGATTTTATAATTCTCCGTATCAATTAAAAGGCTGACTGTGACGTGGAGCGACTGTAACCACGTCGTTGGGGTTAATAGAAGTGCATTACCCATCAGCAAGACACATCGTGCTTGGTGGACATCATGAAACCAGCTCAAACCGGAGTGAGCAGCCTCGGGCCGACTGAGCCCGGTCGCGCCAAGCCAACACATCGAGCCAAACGTATGTTTGACGATTGACCCTTTTTGTCTCGGCTACCAACACCCTAAATGGACTTACGAATCATTTGAACACATATACCTACTTATGTTTGGAAATATTCGCCTCGACCTATACTTATATGAGCTTCAGATTTTATTTGACTAAGTTCTTGTGCAACGTGTTTTGAAATAAGTAGTTTAGAGTCCTGTCTAATAAAATAAACTGGTTTTGTGTTTTAACTGTTGCCAAGTAAGTATTAACTTATCAACTCAATTTTTTTTTCAAGAGTACCTATATCAAAGACATTTTATAAAAAGAAAATAAAAAATAATCCCATGTGGTCGCCTATAATCAATACCGGGATGATTCAGACCTCCATCCAGCGACCATACTCGACTTAAAACTCGAGGAACTTAAAAGTGATTCGTTCATTGTCTGCACGAACTTCTCAGAAAGTCCCATGAAAATTAGATCTGTGAAAAAATGACTCCTCGTTTTAAGTCATATGACAATAAGTACCGTGTCTGTCATTAATTATTAATTTCCAGTTGACGGCAGTTTTACTGACTTCATCGCAGAGGCACGCTAGTGAAATGATCTTGCAATTAATTTGTATGTCGTATATCTTAATTAGTCATGTCTCTCCACATCGTTATAGGTATCTCGGAAAACAATATGAAATACCTATTAGAGGAGAATCTTCTTAAGATTGCGTCCACCTACATGTGATCGAGAAGAATATGTCAGTGAACTTAGCTGATCATTGTCCAGCAGATCAAAAATAAATGAGAGTTCTCATTGCATGCAGCTGAGTTCTATAGTTCCTGATACCTTTTAGAAATAGTTCCGGCGTTTTTACCTTAAAAAAAGACAATTAAAAAAATGATCTGCCAACTTCCGGCAGCAGATCAATTTCTAGCAGATCATAAATAAACGTCAGTTCTTACTACATATAAGTTAGTTCTACAGTTCCTGATAATTCTAGAAATTGATCTGCTGCCGGAAGTTGGCAGATCATTTTTTTAATTGTCTTTTTTTAAGGTAAAAACGCCGGAACTATTTCTAAAAGGTGTCAGGAACTATAGAACTTAGCTGCATGCAATGAGAACTCTCATTTATTTTTGATCTGCTGGACAATGATCAGCTAAGTTCACTGACATGAGAAGAATTAAGTAATTTTCTTTCCACGTCGATTTTCACAGCTACTTAATCAGTCACAGGTTTTTATTTAAACCGATATTATTTTATGCCGACCGTTACAAACTGATTTTGTATGAGAATTAGCAGTTACAACTAGATGTATCCAGTTAGATCAGTTGCTTAGGTATGTTATCGATTATATCTGAGAACGAACTTGACTTTTTCAGGCAAATCCAATCCATTTAATAGCCAGTGGTTAATGCCGAAACTACTTAAGTACCTAATCTAAAAACCGATAACCGGTTTGAATGAAATTGTAAAAATGAATATTCCACTTGTGTGACTTAGGTTTTTTTTTAAGGGGGGAAAATCATCGAATGACTGCTCCCGCCTGGGTGAGGCGGAAGGGAGTGTCAGACTCTTACTGACTAAAAACCATCCCGTTCCTTCTCCTGCACGTCGAGCCGGAGCCCCGGTTATCCGTTAGGTTCTCCGCGACTCCGAAGTGTGACTTAGGTTATGTGTTTCATCGTGTCAATAAGGTAACTGGATCCCATTCCCCAATCCATCCACATATCCTAAATTATTAGTAGACCAGCAACACTCGTAACTTTCTGGTGCTGAGGGTCTCCAAGATTCTCCCGATTGCTTATTTATTTAATTAATACTTCTCACACACAAGGCTGACTTAATGCCTAGGGAATTCTCTGCCAGTCTACCTTGGGGTGGTATAGAGACAGGACATAGTAGGTGCATAATTATAATCATTCATCGTGATCTGTGAACTCGTTTACTATCCTATGCCATCGGTATCTAAAATGTGCAATGTCCAAACGAGTTTACATTTTTTGTATGATATCTGGTTTTTGTATGTACTAAGTATATTTCTCTGAAGATCATATGAAAGATTTTATAAATAGGCGCTATTAAGAACTTACTATATGTAAGAGGATAAGTTTATATACATAAAACTTAGGTATCTATCAAAGCCAGGAAGAATGCGTAAAAATAAACCGTACCAAGTCCATACCGAGTCAAATTGTACCTACCTAGTTCAGCTAACAACGGCATCCAGCTAATACTGTACTAAGAGGCTGACCGACATAGATAGACTAAAAGTTACAAAGTTTAAAGGGTTTGATGAAATAAATGATTTAACGCTCTTCAGCAGTGAAAAATGAAAACCCCCCCCCCTTTTTTCGATGTGCTTTAAATCACAACAATTAATAACAAATAATATCTAATATTTGTTTATTTTTAAAAGCGAAGGCAGTTTGTAGTTAGTTGATTAATAGTTTAATATCACCTGTTTCTGCCAGTTAAAGTTGATAGTTAAGTTCGGCTACGATTTGAAGCGACGTACAAAAACATGACAAACACTAACACCTACGCTTCGACACTGGCAGTATAGTCGACAACATCGTATTGGAGACTCTGTTGCCAAAGAAGAGAAAAAAAAACACCTACTCGTTCTCACTGTTGACTTTGAAATACAACAATAAAAATGTCAAAAAAATTAATAAACTCGAGAGTTGAAACTTGAAAGTATAGTGTTGAAAATTTATAGATTTTATAGTGTTGAGTGTATTGCTGCTGGCTTAGCGATCTCTAGTTAAAATTCAGGTTAGAGTAAGGTACGTAAAAGTGTATTTTTTATTTTGAGTGTCTTATTATGCCTTTGAGGTATAAGTGTACGGAATATAACACACAACAGGTGTGATGAGTACACTAATGATTTCATGATTCATTCAACTAGGAACTAGATAAATCATTGATCGGTAATGATCTTATCATTGTGAATGAATGACCACAATATGATATTTAATATGCGGTTAATTTTCACTGCTATTTACCAGAAGTTTACTTAAATAGTCGGTAAGTACCTATCTACTTAATAGATGCGGCAGTTAGATAGTTTTGATAACATAAATAGCCACATATTAGAGATCGGTAAAATAGGTAAATAAAAATAAAAATGTCGCAAGTAGTGACGACAGTATAGAATAAACGTTGGTGCTTACGATTACGATACCCGACCCGGGAAAAACCCTACTCTTCCTGCAGGTGTCTTATACCGTCTCAGGGCTACTCTTGACAGAGACCGGGAGGCAGTCTTTTTTATATTTGATGGGCCGACGTCTATAATAAACTCAGACCTACCGTGGGGATCGTAACCAACCGACGTTGAAGAAGCCCATGGTCCAGTAGTGTGACGTCGTGGGTTGTTAATAAATTAGGAAGCTTTGCCCAATCCTACCCCCTTGACCGCGGAAACTCCTTGCTCGGATGTTACTGCGAGTACCTATCATTATTTTTAATATTTATTATCAGAAATAGGTACCTACTTAATTTACTTTTGATACAGAAACATCTACCCAGGACATGTCAGTCGGGTTTAAGGGGTTTAACTCGTCGAGTACCGTCATTATAGACACAATTATAGAACAATAGGTTGCGGTCACCGGTGACCGCTTGGTGTTTGACAGTTTAAGATATTCAAAATTTCAGTATTTAAAACTCCAATTTTCAGTTAGGTTTAGTGTATTGCATAGGTACATATAATCTGAAACAAGTAACTACTTGAATGATTAACTCTAAGCTATAAATCCTGCAATAATATCGCTGTTATACGTATATTTCAGCTGTAACAGATTGCAGATGGCGCCCGTCCATAGAACGTACCGTAATAATATATACTTACCAATACCTACTTTATTGCTACTCAATGTTTATTGGCTTTTATGACCGACCGGTAGGTGTGTGGATTACCGAAAATTTGTTGAACAGAAGATTTATGAGCGGGATAAACGCGAACTACACGTTACGTCCGTGAAGACATAGGAATGAGCACATTTTATAGTCGATTCACTTTGGTGCTCCAATGTAAATAATATTCGGTATTGACTAAAAATAAACACATACATAAACAAAGCAAACGAAATAGGTTCATACTTGTAAGTTTGGCTCCAGAGACGGCTGCTGGAACTGGCAGAAATCTCGTCCTAACTAGAATGAATGATTGTTGTAATTAAAAACTGCCGTTTGTAAGGGCGCTTCGTGTTGGTGTGTTTATAAAGAGTCGGGGCAGAGGCTTCGCGGGCTCTGGTCGACCCGCGCCGCGCCACCGGCCGCACGCGCCTTTGCGATTTTCCGCCTCGCGAATCGACGCGTTTTTGTGTAACGTTTTTTAGCAAAAAAATTTACAAAAATTTTAGTATATCAACTTCATCAAGTACATTAATTTATTTGCATAATTTTATAACATTTAGTGACTTGAAACTTGTGTGCTTCAGTGAAATAAAACAGTGATAACTATTTATTGTATTTATTTTTGAAAGGACGTTTCTTCTGCAAATATTTTGAGGTAAGGAAAAAGTTAAGTGCTCAGTATAATATATTTTATCAGTGTGTTACGCGTGTTTGTTGTGTAGGCGGTTTTCACTGCTATTCACCGGAATTCGAGACTTGTACCTAATTTGGAATTAGAATAGCTGTTTCAATTAGGTATCAAAAAATAATATGAGATGATCCTGCTCTAAGTAAACGCTTTGCTGAAAAGGTGATTTCATAATTTACTTCCAGCCAACACAAAAGCGAATAAAAATAAGTGTGAGTTTAAAAATAATTCTATACAATTAGGATTTAAACTTAGTTAGACATCGTAAAAAAATATATTAATTTCTAAACTAAAATTTAAACAAATCTTGTCAAATCACAGAAGAAAGTCCTAAATAAATCCCTTGTAACCGCTATGACAATTCATGCCGGTAGTTTTCATACACCGAAAATCCGGAAAATACAGATAACGAACAGAATGTCAACTTTGGTAGGTACTTAAACCATTTCATACGTGAACAACGTTCATAGTATTATACCTTATTTAGTACTGAATCATTTGAAAGATATTTAAACGACAATAATTAACTCCTTTTGTTTGAAACAACCTTGTAACTCAAAATTGTTTGTCACAAAGAAAATTGTCACATTAAGAGAATTGTTGCAGAGGCGAAAAATATGTCGGGCTACGGTAATCGCAGTGTTAATTGCGTAGATTAATTAAATAAATAATTAGTGGCTTCAAACAAGGTGTCGGTAACGTGTTGGAGATAACGCTAAGGACATACGTTTACCTAGGTAAAGTACCCACGTACTTCAGTCAGTCATTCAGCCAGTATTGACGTCAGTAAGGGCCTTCCGTTTCGACTGTGTTGCTACTGAATTATTGAAATTTAATAATCTTAATATCTTAATAAGCTACAAACGTTCGGTAACTCGGTTGACTCAATTAAGTAACTAGTTACCTACTGATTAAATCTGTTTGCCTAGTATTCAAAAGCACAGTGGTTTTTAGTTGGCTAAGATTTGCTTGGTCTGTATTTTGTATAGTGTCATTTTGTACTAAAAATGATATTAAGGTGAACTTAGCTATCCTTTCATCGAGAGTAAGTCCACACTTAGCTATCTTGATGAAAACTTGGCCGGTACCTTTAAATCAAACATGTCATGTTAAAATTCTAATTCTGTGGTCCTCCTTTTACCTGGGGCACTTAGGAGACTATGGGTAAGGGCCCATAAGAAAGATTTCTTATGGCAGATCTAAGGAGTTAAGCCATAAGAAATCGTTCTTTCTTTTCTTTTAAGAAATCTTTCTTATTTGTAACAATTTTCAAAACGGAAAGACAGTAAATAAACCTTACTTATATATTCCTCCATTATCCCTTTTATGTTTGTAATACATTGATAAGACGAACAATAGTTGCCACATTTTATAGACACATGACTGATTATGAGCTGTTAAGGAAAAATAGTTATATACTTACCCACTGCGATTACCTACTGATGATCTTTGTAAATTATGACTAAGAAGATACTTACTAAGTATTTTATTACACCTATATATACTTACTTTATTACCGTATTGTTTCTTACTTACTTGATTACAAAAGTGGTTTATATTTAATGGGCGTAGCCACGCTGGGGCAGAGTGGGGCACTTGCTCCACTGTAGCTTAGACCAAGACCTATCTAAACTTAAAAAAATCTAAATTATCTATTAGGTAGTACAAAAAGTGCTTAGTATGTACAATAAACCATAAACTCGACAGCCGTTAATATAAAAAATGTGATAACCGAACCATATTTTTGGGTTCTTCATCATCGTATCAACCATAAGTCACAGCTTTAACTTCAATGATAGGCAGCCGGCTTCGACTCCTATAATCTTAATTATAGATTGGCTCGGCGGTACGTGGTCTTCATCATACCTCATTAACATTTTTTTTCAAAGGCATATCATCCAGTTACTCTTCCTGACTTGGGAGAGGCAAAAGGGAGCGTCAGACTTATAATGACTAAAAACCACCCCGTTACTGCTTCGAGTTGAAACCCCGGCAACCCGTTGAACGTTCTGCGGCTCCGGATCGGGCTTCAGCCCTATTAGATAGGCGCCATTTGTAGTGATCTCTTTGAGGCGCACGCTGACCGCTCGCCGCCCGTACAACCTATTACCTATAGGTAATCACCGTTGACATTGATGCCAGATCCTTTCCGATCTGAAGGCGTCTTCCAATGCAGCGGTAAACAGCTTTGGGAAGCTTTGCTTAAAACTCGTGTCTGCAACTGAAAGAGCTACGTCGGTTATGTTTTAATCATATTAAAAATCCATAAATCAAACACGTAGAGAGTCTTTCGAACAATATCGATGAATGTATAGAGGAACAATTAATTGGGTTTTTGTTTGACGTCTGCGCTTACACAGCTGTACCCGTTGCCGTATTTACGTTACAATCTTTCCTATAATTTAATGTGTCATTTTGATGTTATTATTATTGGTAGCAAGCGCAAATTCACCTCATTAACAAGATAAAAATTTATTATTCTACATAATTTATAATAAGTCTTTGAACTGAGGTGAAGTATAACGTCCACTTGATCAAAAATGAGGAAAACGGCAGGTTTGCATAAGTACATTTTCGGAGAAATTAATCTTAAGATTGAATTGAAGAATAAAAGAGATGTATTTAAATACATCTCTCTTGGAGTAACATATTAGATAAAATTTGATATTTTGTTTCTTCCTAAAAATTATATCAAATGATTTATCGTATGCATGGTCGCTAGTCTGCACATTACATAGGTATTCTACAAATGATCTATTTAATGTGCGAATAAAATAATATTTTTTCACTTTAACCGACAGCCAGATAATCTGCAGAATTCCTTGTTAATTTGCACTCTGACTGATTTATGTAAATTAACGGTAACACGTATGTGTTACCGTTAATGTTATCGTAGTTCTTTATGTATATAAAGAACTACGATAACATATGCAGACACGACACAAGAAAATGATACACCAGCGGCCGAAATTAATAAACCGATCTAAAGTATAGGTCCATATATTATCTAGGTTTGTTGTAGGAATTTAATTATGGTCGATAAAGGATAATTTACGAATTTCATTTGACTTGTTGTAAACAACTCCATAGCAAGTAGCTTAATGGAGTGAAACAGATAGTGAAATAGTTTCCATACTTCCCTTCAGCTTTAATATATCTGTTCAACGTAAATTCTTCGTTTCGTAGATATTCGTTTGAACTGAATATTATAACAAATCGTGTCTGTTAAAATAATAAATCATCCATTAGATACGTCTTGTAATGTAAACAACGTTTCCAGGGTTGATTGAATATGATTCGAGGTTTTCAGTAAGACTTACAAGAGATATATGAAAGACATGAAATGAAAATTGAGTATTTTGTTTATACCACGACGGTGGTAAAAAAATTCGCATGGCCTACGTTCATAGGCCACGGTGAGTGCCTGAGTGGTTACTGTGGCCTATGAACGCTTGCAATTCATTGGGCATTACATGCGGATAGCCACCCTTAATAAACCTATTTACTACTTTCTTGAAGAACCTCATATTGTTCTTTTTAGGTGTAAATATGTCATATGTACAGAAAAGGTTGATGCACAATTTTGTCAGCTGTTAGTTCTTATGCTCTTGGGAATAAGAGCCAATAGTTGCCTTTTTCTATCAACTTTTGCTGTTGACTGTACTTAGGGTATAACAACCGTTGTGTGAATAGGGTAGGTGATGGTGGCCACCGAGTGGTTTCAGTGAGGTACTGGTGGTGTGGGATTTTCCCACACCCTTTACACAACACTTTCTCCCTTAAAAGAAAAGCTGGGCGCCTTTTATAGGTTTGATCTCGTCATCAAAAAAAGACACGCGTAGGTTTCTAACTATACAAGTAAGTAGATAGGTACTGTTTTAATTGCTACTAGAGCTCCTAGCTAATTTTTTATGGAATAGGAGACGCCTATTCCATAAAAAAATGCTAACTTGACCATCTATGACTAATTTGGTTTTCAGTTTTAATGAAGTTCCTGAAACCTAATACAGTTGACAAGATGCGTTACTTAGCGACGTCTCCTGGCCTGTCAAAGGGCCGAACGAAATAATACGTAGGTACTATACGTATATTTGTGAAAGATACAGTCTTCATGAACTTCAGGTCACTTTGTTGGTGACCTACAAATGCAGCTGTACAGTTACCCAATCGATACGCTGGTACTGTTTAGTCGACTATGCGTAGGTATGAGTATCTTCATCAGACGTCCCTATTACTTGATTACCCTCGAAGCAGGGCCGCACCCCGCCTACGTCACCACAGATAATAACGTAAAGTTGCATATGACCTTGTAGGCAACTATTTTAAAAAGTTCCACAGGAATTGCTCGTTTATTATCGTCCTTAATATTCATAGTTGAAAGAAACTATTCTAGAGTTGCGTATCGAAGCACCAAAGTTACTCTTACAACGAAAATATACAATATTTTCATCATTTCTATTAGATATAGTTATCTGTTCATTGAAAACACAACGTAATTTTTATAAGGGGTAACCCTAAAAGACCATGTTTTTCCTTAGCAACTTGTTGGACGTTAGCAACTAGCATTTAGTTGGGAGACGAGATTCAACAGGTGGACGCACCGTTTGACACGTAAAACAAATTTAATTACCCTTTAACCTGTCGTTGCTTGCGGAGCTTTTAGATCTAAAATGGTTAAAGCACAAGTTGTCCTTATAACTGTCAGTAAAGTGCATATTAAATTGCATTGACTCTGGTAAACCCCCGGTTGAAAATAACGTAATCTTGAGGAAAGTTTAGTCAAAATTAGATTAATTTCGCAATCAGCTAAGGTTTCTTCATATATTCGACTATGCATTATTCTTTCTCAGTTTGGGAATACAACTAAAACGAGCATCTTTTTTCCTGATAGTCATTAAATCTGTTTAATGACTATCGTATTGTATTGTATATTCTACCACCAGAGTACCTAACATAGAATATACGAT